ATATAAAAATAATTTTAGTAATTTTAATAATATACTATAAATTTTATTATATACAAATTTTAATATAATGTTCTTAATAGTTATTTTTTTCTTTTTATTACATTTCATCTCATCATCATTGTTGCATTTGCATCCAAACACATATCCTACATTTGATTTTAATCTCACCGTTATAATACCAAATCTCACCACATCATTATTTTCATTTGAGTGAAACTAGTCTCACAGCTCATCCAAATTGATCCTAAATTACAAAAAATTTAAAATTTTGTTTTAAGATTTGATTTATTTATTTATTTTGATAAATTTTGGATCAAACTAACTCTGCAACATAAAAAAAGGATAAATTGATGAATCTTATTTAACAAGTAATGATCATAGATTAGGAAAAAATCCATTACCAGATTAATTATTTCCCTTCTTCCCTTTGGTAAATTTTTTCCCTCTCTGCCTCTCATTTCTTCTTAACCAATGTCTGACCTTCTTATTTCTCATCCAACCTGCAATCCCCTATAATCATCGCTACTCTAAATAGCATTACCACCATCACCCCTACCATTTTCACTACCTTAGAAACACCATCATCACCAACTTTCGAAGAATAATTCTCTGTTGAATCTCTTTCATCTACCATTTCTTTCATACCCAACACCCCTACGAATATCATCACTTCAGAAACACCATCATCATTTTTCTCATCCAAAGCATATTTGTCCATCCAATAATTTTCTTCTATCTTTTCCTTTTTTCTTTCAATTAGAGGTATTTTTAGGTTTAAAGGGCAAAATAGATTTTTTTTCCATTAATATAAGTCAAAAGATAGTTAGGGGCAAGGGCAAAGCCAACATGTGGATGAAAAAGGTTAGAATAATGAATAATTTTAATTTTTATAAAATAACATTAAAAAATTATACTATTAAACACGAATAAACTAGAAAAATAAAATTATTATTTAAATTACACTCTTCATTTTTTCATCATACTAAAATCATCAATTATTACATTAGTACCAAACTTTTCTATAATTTCTTTCTCAATGTAGACAACCAAAGAATTTTTCAAAAAATCATCTTATCTTACTTTGAAGTTGAATTTTCATAATATTCACATTCTATAGATACAATTGAAACTGGAAAAGTTAATATGAGACAAATCAATCTATCAACAAGTGGATATACCTCTAACTTTTCATTTTCAACTAATTATCTACAAAGTTCAAAAAATGTTAATATTTTTCTCATATAAGAATGTTGACACACTTCAACTTCATAATGTCTCAACTCGTATGTAAAACATTCTTTCTCATGGTCAATAAAGTTTTTTGGATAAAATTAGTTAACAAGGCTAGAAATTTTTTCAACATCAAATAATTTAAAAGACTTTCTAAGATTTAAAGATGCAGTAAAATAAGCAACTCAATAATATGGTCATTAAATCTAGGTTCAATTATTGCAACTGAATATCTATTATAGCAAAAAATATATCTATTCAATAATGATGATCCACTATAACATGTTCTTTCTTGTTACGACCACAACCTACCATGTATGGAGCATTCATATCTAGAGTATTTAGCTCACAAGTCTCATAATATGACATCACATTATTCAATAATTCATCCCATCCACTTTCTCTAAACTTTTGAATCAATTCTTTGGTTGTCAACACAAGATTTATGGCATTCAATATATCTTGTGAACAAAGTTGCAAAGCTTGACAAAGATTATCAATAATCCTTATAATTTCCTTCATTAAGTGTAAAATAAAAATAAATGCAAAAAATCTCAACCTATTATATACAACATGAGTATCTCTCTGTTGAGAATAATTAGGTGTAATATTTTTTATATTTTCAAAAATAGTGCATGTTGCACGAAACATCTTCATTAAACTGATAATTGAATTCAAATGAAAACTCCATTAAGTATCACCTGGATGTTGTAAAGCACCTAGTCGATTCATACTAGTTTCAATTTCCAACTCAGTAATAGAAATTAAATAAGTAATTTCAGCTATTTGAGCTTCTTGTAATTCATCATTATATTTGGAAGAAGCACAAACCACATTAACAATATCGACCAAGTCTTTAAAAATTGATGCACTTCAACCATTTCTCTAAATGCTAAAACCAATGCTAATTGAAATTGATGAGTAAAATAATGAGCATAATAAGCATATGGACGCTCATTCAAAATCAAAGCTTGCAAGCCATTTAACTCCTTACGCATATTACTCACTCTATCATATCCCTGTCCTTGAAAATTCTATATGTCAAAACTATGATGGGAAAGAACATTAAAAATCTCAATTTTCAAAGTCAATGCTAAAGTATCTTTAACATGAACTAGATCAAAAAACGTTTTTTCACAAAGCTTTCTTTATTAACAAATCTTAAAACAATTGCCATTTGCTTTTTTTTTTTACTCATCTATGGTTTCATCACAATAATGCAAAAATTTCTATCACCAATTTCTTCACAAATTGCATCATGAAATCTTTTAGCATAAATGGGTAGAATTTTTTTTTGTGTTGTTGAAGAAGTATATATGGCATTTTATGAAGCATTTTTCATAACATCTTCAACCTTTTTATCATAAGATGTCAACATTATTCCCAATTCAAGAAAGTTTCCAAGATTTTTTATTCTAAACTCTCATTATGACCTTTAAAGGCACAACCTTGAAATATCAACCATTGAACAACATCTATACTAGTTTTCAAACGTAGACGATTAACTATAACTTGTTATGTTGTTTGCCTATCAAGTAATACTCTAATATTTTCAGCTTTATTCATTAAATCTACATAAGCTCTTTGTGCATTGTTATTTGGTGAATTCAAAACTTTTTCATATAAGTCAAAAAAGCACAATTGCATCCTTCATGTACTTTTTTTCAATTTCTAAAACCACTATGAGTAAATGTAGTTAATCCAAAGAGTCTGGTTGGCTTGTTATTAAAGAGAAAACAAGGCAAACAAAATACTACATCCTTAGAAGGTGAATATTCTAACCAAGAAAATTGTTCGAACCATGATGTTTGAAAGTGACAAGGATGCTTTTTCTAAGCTAAAAGCAAGATATTCTAAAAAATTAGGCTGATATGGTCCAGCCTCGATGTAAGCTTTTCAAATTTTATCATGTAGAGTAACTGGATACTCGTATATTTGTTTACGCAATCTTGGATCACGTTTGGAATTAAACAAATAAATTGTCTCTGCTTCAACTCTAGGAATTTTAAAAGCATTAGTTTCAACGTTTGGAGTAGATGATGGGGGTGGTGATGCTTCATTTTGTGAAGTAGAATTAGAAAATGTAGCATTGGCTTCTAGAATAGAAAATGTTGGCTTTAACTTTATATTTTGATTATTTTTCTCAAAAAAAAGAGAATATATTGTTCTTGACTTCATAGCTACATTAATATTCCTAAAAATTTGAATAAAATTACTAATTACTATATAAGTATAATAAAATAAAAATTCTTATCTATTTATAAACAAAGTAATGTAATAAATCAATGCAAATAAATAAAAGCAAAAACTTCATATTAAATTAAAATAATCTAATAAACCAACATAAACAAATAAAAAACAAACAACATATTAAATTAAAATAATATAATAGATTAATGAAAACATATAAAAAAAATAAGGTGCATATTAAATTAAAACAATCTAACAAATCAATGTAAACAAATAAAAAATAAAACAGCATAATTTACTATTGTTTTAACTAATAAAAAGAATAAAAAAAAACTTGATTTGACTATTTACTTATTCTTAAGAGTAAAAAAAGTGCTTCAACCACTCAACACCAATCGATATGAAAAAATTTATTTTTACTAAAGCAAAAAGATGGCCAGTTGATAATTAGATGAAAAATTTAGAATAAACTTATTTTGATAAGCTGTAAAAAAATGAGTGCCAGATATGTTAATAAGGCACATAGACATAACAATAAAATAGTTTACTTAGATTTCAATTAGGTTTAAATAGTAAACAAGGCTTCAATTTAACTTGAATTTTAAAATTAGGCTAAATAAATAAATAAAATAATAAAATAATATACAAAAATTAAATTTACATATTTTTATACCTTTAGGGGCCTTGACCCTTGCAATCTCACATCACAAGCTTAAAGTAAGCCTGTCAGCCTTTTTCCTATATATAAATATTTTATTATCCAATTTTAGGGGGCCATGGACCTTAGTAGCCCCACTTTAGCTTTGCTTTTGTAAGTATAATAAAATAAAAATTCTTATCTATTTATAAACAAAGTAATGTAATAAATCATGCAAATAAATAAAAATAAAAATATCATATTAAATTAAAATAATCTAATAAATGAATGTAAACAGACAAAAAAAACATATTAAATTAAAATAATATGATAGATTAATGCAAACATATAAAAAAATAGGACTTATATTAAATTAAAGCAATCTAACAAATCAATTTAAACTGATAAAAAAATAAAATAGCATAATTTACTATTGTTGTAAACTAATAAAAAAAATAAAAAAAAACTAATTTGTCTATCTACTTGTCTTCTCAAGAGTCAAAATAGTACTTTAACTGTCCAATACCAATCGAGATGAAAAATTTATTTTTACTAAAGCAAAAAGATGGCTAGATTGAGAATTGGATAAAAAATTTAGAAAAAACTTATTTTGATAAAAGCTGTAAAAAGATGAAGGCTATATATGTTAATAAGGCACATAGACATAACAATAAAATAATTGACTTGGATTTCAATTAAGTTTAATCAGTAATCTGAGCTTTAATTTAACTTGAATTTTAAAATTAGGCTAAATAAATAATAACTAATGAAATAATAAAAATAATAAAATAATATACAAAAAAAAATCAAATTTACACGTATTTTATACCTTTTGGGCGGGGGGGGGGATGGCTCTTGCCATCTCACATCCCAAGCTTAAAGTAACCCTCCCAACTTCTTCTTACATATAAATATTTTATTATCCAATTTTTAGGGGAGGACCATGGCCCTTACTAGTCCTTTAGCTACGCCTCTAGTTAAGGGCATTTTGGATTTTACGATCAAGCTAATATGTCAGGTTGACTTAAATTTATACGGCTATGTCAGCTCGGTTATCTCATCAAGTCTACATGTTGAACCCCTAAGGTGCATATTTGGCATACCTTAAGTGGAAAGTTAACTGCCATATCAACTTGGATCTACCAAGTCATCTCTAACCATTAGGGCTGACTTTGAATAGTCTAGGCTGCCCGCAACCCCCACCTTACAGGTGTAAATAGCAGTATCCATGTACCTTTCAAGGAACTTGCCTTTTTCATATTTCTTGCTTTCACCTTCCTATTCCTTTACTACGTCGACCACTAACTTAAGCATCGAGTACAAACATCGAAACCACTCCTAACTTTTATTGTTATTCGCTTTCTTTCTTTTTCTATTATAATTTCAAGGTATTACACTTCACGGTCAACTCAGAGCTAACACCTTCCTTTTCTCTCCTCCAAAATCTCCTCCCTCCTTCTCCACCCTGACTCTGGCTCTAGCCATAACAACCTCTGTCGCTGGCTTTATGAAACCTTCCATTCAATGGACCCCAAACGCCAACTCGTTATATCGTTTCATTCCCATCATCAATGGTGTCTACGTTTCCCGCATCGCTCAGCGTAAATCCCTGGCTGGTTTTGAGGCTATTCGTTTAGCACTTTACGCACATGAAACTACTGCTCGTGGAGGCCAACCAGTAATCGTTCACGTCCCAGATTTATCACGCCCTAGTATTTATCATGAATCCAAACCATTTCTAAAAAACATTTCAACCGGGCCAAACCTAACGGTGATGACTCCCAGTTTGGAGCCTCATGGGACTACGCGATCGACAAGAAGGGCCTGGATTGTTGGTGTTGCATTAGAATTGTATTGCAATAAGATATCTCAAATGCCAGTGACTTCCAAGATTGAATTTTGTAAGTTTTCCAAGATTTAGGCAGGTCAAGCCGGAGATAATTGCAAAGACGGTGAAGTAGATCATGGCAAGAGCAATGGTAGCAATGATCAGATCGAGAAGGTAAAGAAGAAAGAAAGGAGGATTCCTTTGCCATGGGAGCTTTTGCAGCCAAGTTTGAGGAAATTGGGGCATTGCCTTTTGGGTCCTCATAGAAGTATGGAGATTTTTTATGCGGCTTCTTCAGCAACAAGGAGTTTGTAAGCGAGGTCTTTGCATGACATTGATGCTAAGGCAATTTTGGCTACTACTAGTGTTCTTCGACTTGAGAAGGTGGCCTTGGATCCAACCATTACTATTGATTATACTGAAATTGAAATGACAAATGTTACGTCTTTGTAATCAAAAGATAAATTGATAACGTTTAGTTTCACAATTAATATTAGAACTAATGGTAACAACATACGATAATGATACAACATCAGATAAAGTAAATAACAATTTTCAAACATCTAGGATATCGATTTTTTTGTTTTGTAATTAACAATAGAACTAAATACAAACATTATAAACTAAAATAACAATTTAAAAATATTTAGGATAATTATTTTCAAATATTTAGGAATGAAAACAGAAAATAAAAAAAAGAGTAAATGTTTAAGACTAAAAGTTTAATTATCTTTATAGTCTCCGTTATTTCTATGTGTGTGTTTCATTAGTAAATCCGTATGATAATTAACGTTAAGACTAAGACTATAACCATTTGATGACATTTAAAACTGAAATAATAATTTTCAAATATTTAATACTATAAGAGAAAACACATACCATTTTTGTTTGACAAGGTACAGGCGAATTTATAAAGCAAAAGAATGGATGGCACATTCAAATATATTTTCAATTTCCTTCTAGTTTTATTTTGTAAAAATATTGCATAAAATGAAAATCCAGCTTGTGATGACAATATTCATTAGCATTGGTTCTTCTATAATTAGGGAAAGATTGGATTTAAAATAACATTGAATAAATAATATAGCTAGCCGAAGGCCAAAACATGAGGTCCTCAAATTAACAATGGCACAACTCAGTAAAATAAATCCCAAAACAATTAAAACTCCTACAAAATAATTATTGGTGTTACGTACGTACTAGACAGTCTCTCCTCTCTGTCTCTCTCTCTCAAAAAAAAAAATACTAGACATACATATATATATATAATGCAGTATATGATTAATGGAGAAAATTAAGTTCAACTATGAGAGAATTAAATCCCAAAAAGTGTGGGAAGAAAGGCAACTGCCAAGGCAACGAGGGAAGCTAGACCAGAGACTGCAATGGTTAAAGCTCCATCGCTGTTTCCACTTGGAGGGCTGGCAGCGAATCCTTGTGGGGCAAGACCTGACCAATTTTTTCAATTGATTTCACAAATTGCTTAATTATACAAGTGAAACATATAAACGAAAATTAATGTCTTTTAATAATTAAACCATATTTAGTTATAAATTATTATAATCTAGAGAGATAGAATTCAAGATATATAGCAATGATTAACACTCAAAATTAGGTAAAAACTAAGCTTGGACGATGAATAACTAGAGATTTGAATTTGATAAAACTTGGTTATAAGTCATTTGAAGTCCGTAAAATGCTCCATTTCAATATATATTTTTTCATAAAAGGGAAAATATTACGGTTCAAATTTAAGAGTTTCATTTAAGTCAATCTCAACTAATGTAAATAAAGATATTGATTTCAAAATTTAATTCAATTGATTAATATAATTATTTTAAAACATGACATTTAAAAAAATTTAAATTCAAATATTTGCATTTTCAACCTCTTTCTGTATGCTAAAGCTTCATCTACTATGGAAGATATATATACTAATTTCTTAATTAATTGCTTAACAAAAGCAAATACATTGCCGTTTAAGTTTTGCAACCCGTAGCCAATTTTGTTATAGTTATTATCCCACAATCTTACTAGTAATTGTTTTTTAGTATATAACTGTTAAAAGGGTGTGTTTATATATAGTTTTAAAAACATAAGGAGTACTTTTGTATATACTTTTAGTAGAAATTAAAAATTTCCCAGTTTCCGGAAAAAAAAAGGGACATGCAACTTTTTGTTTTTGACATAGAATGGATGTGGCATAGTCGAAGCTTACTGTTAAACTATGTTGTAAAAGTAACATAGAATTAAAAGAAAGAAAATCAAATACCCGCTGACATAGGTGCTTCGCTTGGGGTTGGGCCTCCAAGTGCTCCACTGATGACTGAAAATTGCAAGGAAACATGTTATACTAAATGCCATAGTATATAACAAAATTCAATGTCAAATTAAATTTGCTTATCTAAAAGTTGCCCAAATAAAAATTTTGAAATCCAAATAGATGATTTAAAATGTCATGCATGTTTTAGAAAATGCACAAATTTTATAAGGTTACTGATTAAAACAAAAAATATAAAAATTAGTGTTGATTAAAATAAATAAAAATTTGTTAATAAGTATCTTAAGAATATTTTTTAAGGTTAATTAAAATTTTATTTATAATAATGTGTTTATATTAAATGCATTAACTAAAAAAATAAATATTTATTATAATTTTCAACACATTGAAAAAAAAATCGCTAAAAAAAATCTTTAAAACATTATTTAACACAATTCTAATAAAGAATCCAAAAGTTTTGGTGACAAAGTAAATAAGTTTTTCTATTATTATTATTTATTATTATTATTAAAAAGTGCGACAGAATTCGAAAGGCTAATGACTGAGCACGTGATTCATTTATGTAATCATAAGTTTGATAAAAAGGCAGCACGTGAAAGTGGGTGAGGGGAAACCGAGAATCATAAATGGGCATAGTAAATGAGAGACAAGTAGGCTGCCAACCCGAAGCTGGCGCCTGTCGGTTCTCCCGTGCAGCCGTTCTCGGTTCTGTTAAACGATTTTAATTTTCTTTGTTTGCCAAAATTAATCTTTCCTTTTTTACTTTAATTCTAAAGAGAAAGCTTGATGCGAGAATCTATACAAATCACCTGAAAGGGAGAGAGAATATTTATGATGTATTTATATTGTAATTTTTTTTTAATTTTATAAGTAGAATTAAAATTTTTTTTATTTTAAATTATTTAGATGTTATTAATTTTTACAAAATTAAAAAACTTTTAATGTACTTAATATTAAAATTTAAAATTTTTATAAAATTAAAATTTTATAATTTTTAATATTTAAAAGTAAAAATAAATTTAAAAAATAAAAAATTAAATGTTGTAAAAAAGAATATAATTTTGAGATATCTAAAAAATAAAATGAAATAAAATAAAAATTTTATATTTTAATATATTTTTTAAAAAATTTTATTTTATTAATTATTTTTGTAAAATTTAAAACTTTCACTTAAATAATTTCTAAAAAAAATATTGATTTAAGTGACAACCTTGTTTATTTGTTGGTGGTGGTGATGATGATGATGATGATGATGATGGCCATGATCATATGTATATGTTTTCATTCAATAATTCTAAGGAGCTTTGACTTTTGTAATTCCAAATGAGCTTTCAATCAAATTGCTCGCATAGTAGATATTTTTAGCAATAAGTAACAAGGGTTTTGTTAACAAGTGTTTTGTCACCTTTAGAGTTAATTAATATATCATTTATAATAATACTTTTAGATTAAATGCAATGATAATTTGTCTCTATTGCTTGAATCAAATACTTGAGGTAATTGTAATTTAAAAATAAAATGGCAAATAGTAGAAAAACAGTTAAATATAAAATATAGCACTAAACCGGGAATCCTAATATATTTTCTTAATATAAAATATGAGTAAAAATATCATAGCAATTTTACAATTTATTTTCACTTTAGATGACTTTGGGAAAAATCTTAAAAAATTAAGAAAATAAAAATTTATAAATGTTAAAAATCAAACTCAAACTTTACTAAAATTTGTCTATTAAAAAAATTAGTAAATTATTTGGATGAAACCTAAAGTTCTCTTAATAATAAAGTAGAGGAGTAGAAAATTACACCGTTAATTAGAAAGGAAAGTTGTGTCTTTCATTGAATTAATAAACTAAGGTTTAGAAATTAGGGTTTTCTTTATTTTATTATTTTTAAGACGAATTCATGATGATTCTACGGTAGAACAGAAGTCAAGCTTCTTCAAAATAGCAAGACTTTTACATATTTCTCTTTTTACTACTTTGTGGGTTCCAACACATGCACCTAGTGATCCGGTCCATAATAAATGTATATGTTTCAATATTCAAAAAGTTAAATTGAGTTTATTGGAAATTAGGTGCAAAATTAAAGTGAAAGAAGACAAATCCAAATGTAAAATAAGTTAAGAGTGGACGATCTAGCTTTAATGTTAAAAATCATTATTGAATTATAATAAAATATTTAATGTAATATTTTAATTATAAATTTATTAATTAATATAATATTTAAAATATTATTTATTAATTATTTATCATTATTTAAAATTAATTATATTAAAATAAAATATTATATTTATTAACATATTTATAATTTAAATATCACATTAAAATATTTATATATTTATATATTATATTAAATATTTCATTATATTTCAAAATCTACTCGTAATACTAACCCTTGCTGTTAGGGAACCACAAATTAATAATTAAGGCCCCTGGCCCATGTCAATAATAATGAGAGAGAGAGAAAGGACGTGCTTTTACTGTCAACGTTAGGATTGGTTTTAAAAGAGTTAAATCTATAGGCAATGGCCACCGATGACAGCTGGATTTTAAATTCCCTCATCAAGACACCTTTTTTTTTTTTTTTTTGTGTAATACTTTAATTCTTATTGCTATTTGTGTTGATTTGAAAATTCGCGTCCGAAACTTCAAGTAGCTAGTTTTGCCAAATAAAATAAGGACTACAAAATGCATTATGCAAACTCTCCACAATTTATAATGTCCTTATGGTCTAAATTATTGTTGTTATTAATAACTTTCTTGTGCATAGTTTATTTTTAAGGTATTCGATAGTAAAAATTTTTAATTTTATAAGTGAATTAAAAATTTTATTACATTCTTAAATTTTTAATTATTTTTTATTTATTGTATTATAACTAAAAAATATGTATCATCTTAGACTAATCATATCGTGGAACTTAAAAACTTGGCATGATAATTTCTCGATTAGTAATTGTTCAAGCCTTTGTTTTTAGCTTTTTTACCCGGACCAACTTATTATTTTCTATCATGATTCATGAGATTTTCCCGAAGAAAATCAAGAAGCAAGATAAATTACCTGAGCAGAGACTAACAGGGGGAGTAGAAACATGACAAACAGCAGGAAGATTAAGAGCCCTGTTCATATCAATGTTGAACCCATAGCTTGCAGTTGCGTTCTTATCCAACAAATAACACAAACATTGAGGAGCGCTCTCGACAAGACCTGCCAACTCTGGACAGCAAGGCTTATCTGGCTTCGTTAGATTGCTCCCAGCCTGCACGTACGTCAAGCAATCCGACAAGTTATACAAGTTGCTCACACAGTCCGGAGTCGGTGCCTCTGCAGATGGCCCAAAGGCTACGGCTGCCGGCCCAGGTGCCGGTGCCTGTGCGGCCATGCAGCTGCAGAATGTTAGTACAAAGATGGTGGCAACAACAATGGTTATGGTGTGCTTAGCTGCCATTTTTTTTTGTGGGTGAAGGCTAAGAGTACTGTGGGAAATGGAAGCAAAGTGAGATTGAGATGGATTTTTAATAGTGAGAGAGTTGGGTGTTGGTAGTTATGAGGACGGTGGCTAGAGTGTGAAAACGAGAGAAATTAATTGGAAAGCACAAGTAACGGCTAGCCGAAGTTCAATAATTTATTGTAGCTACCAACAAAGTTTTTTTTCTTTTTTCTTTTCTTTGCTAAATTTTTTCTATCACGGCTTTAGAGGCCAAGGGAAGGTATGTTTTTTAACCAAAAAATCTCAATCTCAAATAAAAAGAATTTTAAAATTTAAAATTTAAATTTAAATCTATTAAATATTACTTTTTAAAAATAATTATAGGAACATAAATATTGAAATTAAAGAAAAGTCATTTTATCGTCTAATATAAGTAGTAATTAATTTGCATTGTTTTATTATTTATGATTAAGATGATATTTAAGAATATATATATATATATATATAATTAATATGGGTTATTTGCTTTGATGATTAAAATAATATTTAAGAAAAAAATATGTAATTAGTGTATTTTTTATTTTTGATAAAATAATGCATTAATGCAAAAATTAATAATAATTTAAAAATGAAATAGTACTATTATATGTGAATAATAGAAATTTTATTTTATTTTGTAATGATTCATATGATCACATGGATTTTGCAATAACATTGAAACTCGGGTATACCATCGAAGAATAGGAGCAAATCTAGATATTTTATGTTGATATATCATGCAAGCGTTTGTGAAACAAATTCGATAATTTTAATTTTTAGGGGCTGACAAGCTTCAACAACAGTCTTCATTTTTTTCTTTTTCAAGTTATGCTTTAAGAATTCGCACACTCTAAAAATACAACACATTCATAATTAATACTATAAGGAAAAATATATAATAAAACAAAAAATGTACATATACATAAGCACCTTTTGGATTTCATCATTGCTTTAGAAAAACTGCTATTTATTAATTAGAAAGTATAACTAAAACTCAAAATTATTTTAGTGATCACAAATTAATACCACATTCATGTCAAAAATCATTAATTGATTTAACCAAACTATATTTGTTTAGATCCAACCTAAAATGATTTACTCCAAACTTAATCCACTAATAAATAAATTTTTATAATTGTAAAACTGAATGAAAAAAATCACAAAAAATTCTTTACTCAAAACTTAACCCAAAACACAATTACACTATTTTAATAGCTTACTCACTTAACTATTTTTTTGGTATCTATATGAGATTTTCAAATTAAAACTAAAACATCTTATTTATAAGAGTGAAACCGCTTATATCTTTATTAAATTCCTGATTTGATATACAAGATAAACTTTTAACTCTTATAACTTCACTTAATTTTGATATGAGATTTAAGGGAAATCCCAACAAATCCTTCCTTGACTTAATCTCCAAACACTTTAATAGAATCTACAAAGCAGACACACTTGCTTTTCTTCTTTTTATTTGTCGTATGAATCCCAACAATTGAGTCTTAATCAAACATGTAAAAGTTATTTTTGACCATATTTCTTTGTAGAATCACACTACCATTCTTGTACATTTTATACCAATCATTTTGTCCCTAGTATATATATCCACGAGAAGCTAACTTACCCAAAATAATTAAATTGTAGCTACAACACAATACATACCTTACATGATAAAGCATCCTAACAACAATATTATGAGATTTAAGGCAAACATTCCTAATGCTTTAAATCTGCACATTTTTATTGTTAACAACCATAATATCCCTATATTGTTTATTCTCTTCCAACTCCACAAAGCAACTTTTATCATTGTAGATATGGACTGTAGCAGCTGAATTAAAAATTTAACGTTTATGACTTTTCAAAGTTTAAGTCTCATCCACACAGGTTGTCAAAATAATATTATCATCATTAGATACAACAATAATAGTATTGCTCTTTCTTTCATCCAATTTCTTCTCGTAATTCGCCTTTTTAAAAGAAGCCATATCTTTTCTTAGCTTCTTGTAGCACATTTTGATATGTCCTTTTCACCACAATAATAATATTATATATTATTGTAATATCTGTTTCTTGACTTGGATCTCCCTCTTGATCCATCAACTCTCTTTTGAGTCCTTCCTCGATTAGAATCCTTTTACAGCTAGTGCACTCTTTCTAGGTGATGAGTTCAATATTCCCATAAACCTTTCGTTCTCATGCAACAGAGTAATCACATCATCCAACTTCAAAGTAGACTTACCTACCAACAAAGTCTAAACTAAATGTTTATAGGACTTAGGAAAAAATGACAACAAAATTAAAATCTTCTCTTCGTCTTCTAACTCATCAATAGAAATAGCCAACAATTGAGAAACTAACCTATTAAATTCATTCAGGTGATTATGAAAACTCATACATTTTTTCATCTTCAGAGAATACATATTTATTTTCAAACATAATATGTTAATCAATGACTTTGATGCATAAATATTCTCAAGTTTATTCCATAAACTTTTTGGAGTATTTTCAATTAACACACTGTATTTTACCTCTAGGGTTAGAGTAAATATAATAGTATTAACAGTTTTCTTCTGAATTTTATTCCAGTTACTGTCAGATATTCTTTTAGGCTTACTACTCTCTAATGCCTGATCTAATCTTTATTGTACTAATAGATCTTAAATTGTATTTTACCATAATATAAAAATACTATTTCCATCAAATAAGAATCTCAAACTTAAACATAGGCATACTAGACATACCTTCTTCAGACATTTTGAAAATACTTCATTGTCACCATAATATATTGGGTATGCTTCTTCTCTTTCAATGTCTTGAACCTCCCTCTAATGCTATTTGTTGAAAAATCATCACGTATGCACAACATTAACACACACAAACAATAAAACAAGCCCAAAAATATAAACACAAAATATTTGTTTAGGCCCAACAAAAAATGATCTACTTCCAAACTTATTTCACTACATAAACAAAATTTTTACAACTATGAGACTTTTGAAATGAAAAAAGTTACCAAAAACTCATTACTCAAAACTTAACCTAAAATTCAATTACACCATTTTAATAGTCTACTCATTTAACTATTCTTTTGGTATTTAACTACTTGAGATTTTTAAATTAAAACTAAGACATTTTACTTATAAAGTTGCCTTTATACCCTTACTAAACTCTTCATGTGAGATATAATATAAACTTTTAACTCTTATAACTTCACTTAACTTTTGATATGAAACTAAAAGATTCAAGATAAACTCCAAAAAGATTGAAGTTGGCTAGAGTGAGGATGGACAATTGAAAACAGTAAGTGGGTGAATTTAGGAACAATCAACTTAATTAATGATCATGTCAAATTTATGAATATAAAAATAAAAAAAAGAAGGTGATGAAAAGGACAACTGAAAAGTGTGAAAATCATTAAATTTGTTTATCTTAGTTGTAGACACCGAATTTTGTCCGAGTCTACTAGATTAATTTTTATTTTTAAGTTTTGTTTATTAATATTTTATTAATTAATAATTAAATATCATAATCAATAAAAACAAAAAAATAATAAAATAAATAATAAAAATGAAAAAAAAAACAAAACAGGGGTAGCACGGAACCACCCACCCTTGCCATCCTCTCTAACCCTGGCTATGCCCTGTAAACCCTATTCACCCTTGAACCACCATTGTTAACACCCCATTCCACGCCAAAAGCCCTATGCCCTGTCAATCCCACATCCCTACAAAACCAGACCTTTCCCAAACATTGACATTGGTTTTTTCCCTTCACTCGTGCAAAAACACCTCTTGGACACACTTTTGGATACACAGACACCCTGTCCTCCACCTACCAGAAACCCAGAGACCCTCACGCTCAAAAAACTGAAGCTCCAATATCCTGAAACCTAAGCTCTTCCCCACCCCCATCTATCAGAAAACTAAAAACCTGAAACAAATCCTTAAAAAAAAATAACAAAACATAGTCATCCTCGTGGGGAGGAACCTAGTGTCAAGCTACCTGCAAAAACAAAGGAATCATCAGTTTCATTTTTAAAAAAAGAAAAAAAAAGAGATCAAAGCTTTGAGCCCTGATTTACGTCGATCGAGGCTATTTTCGATGAAAAGAATATTGGATTTGGAAAGATGTTGAAAGGAACTTTCTGAGATTTTTTGGTGTTTTCTGACCACCGACGGCGCTTGACACGACGGCACGGACGCCTACGGTTGAACACAGATAGAGCCTTTGGAGCTCTTTTAGAGCTTTGAAATTTTTTTTTTGGTTGAAAGGTTTGAAATAGAGTAAAAAAAATTGGCTTTATATAGAACACTAAAGCATAAAACGACATCGTTTAGACCAAGGAGAATCCGTGTGTGGGCTCGAACTCGACCTGGGATCCGTGCGACTCGACCTGACTCAACGACCCATCCTTCAGTCAGCCCTGAACAGGTTCAACTGAATCGCTGGCCGAACTGCCCCTTATCCGATTCAACCAGACCAAATCGTTGAACCACCTGAACCGGTCGAACTAGTGTTGACCAAACCATTGATCGATCCAGTTCAAGTATTTTTTTTATTTTCTAAATTTTTTATATTATTATATTAATTATTTTTAGTTTTATTTTTTAATAGTCATGCATGATAGATTTTTAAATTTTTTAGATTAAATATTTGATTATTTTTTAATAATAATAAAATGAAAACAAAGTAAGATAATAACTAAAAAATATATATTAAAAATGCTTAAAGAATAATAATAATAATAATAATAATAATAATAATAATAGACTAATAAATTTTTTATTTTTCCTACCTAGATGTTGAAAGAAATAAAAAAAAATATAATTTCGCCTAGATGTTAGAAAATTATATAAAAAAATTTGACAGGTAATAATAATAATAATAATAATAATAATAATAAATTTTCATTAAAAAAAATGAAAAATTTTAATTAATTTTTAAAAATCATAAAAATTGAACTTGCTAAAAAAATCTACCTAGATGTTGGAGATTTTTAGAGATGTTCGTGTTTTTTTAAAAAATTAAAAAATCTAAACCTTAAAACCCTTAAACCCCAAAATTGAAACCTTAAACC